TTGTTTGGACTGTGCTCTTTTGATATGTCACCAAAACTAATATTCCCATATTCATGTTTAAAAGTCATTGTAGATGTGAAATTAATATCTTCTATTTCTCCTTTTTCTTGTTTGTTAGACAGTGCTTTCCTCAGTTTGTCGCTAAACCTAATGCTTAATCTATGCACTTATTAAGTAAAGATATCAAAGTTATTTATTATTACAATCATTTCGTTTGGAAGTTTGTCAAGCTTTAACATCGACAGAGAAAAATGTATTCTACATTTCTTAAAAGCAAAAAAAATAATAATAACTGCATTAATGATAGCTAGTTATGTCATTTTGCGCTTCTCCGCTTTTTTCACCTCTAGCCATCCCAAACATCACAATAGTAGTACATTTTCCATTTATTAAGTTAAGGGATGATTCCTATTTCCTTTCCATCCTCAACAAAACTAGATGGAACATTCAAGACAATTTGATTCCACCCCTAGTTGTGCCATGATGTCACCTCTTCCTGCACATTGTTAATGAAAATTTTTTCTATTCAAAAAAAAAAGAGAAACTTCTATTCTTTCTTACTCAAAAAAAAAACAAAAGAAAAAAGAAAAATTCACCTTATTCTACAGATATTTTAAGAAACTATGAGTTTCCACTTTTTACATTGAGCTTCCTTTTTTACAGCATACTGAGTTTCCATATTTGCTATTAGACAAACAGTAAAAAGACAAGCCAGGATTCCAGCAAAATAAAACCATAATGTCTAGGAGATTTAGGCGCAATAATTTATTCACAACAAGAACAAATAAAATAAAAGCTCTAGTTTAAATGTACTAAAAATTGACTTGATGGGTTATTTAAATCTACTAAACTTACATTGAAGAGTTCTGAAAAGGTTTTCTTTCTTGCCTTCCATTTTACTATTTATGTCCTAAAAGACAACTTTGCACTATTTACATACATAAACTAAGCTTTTTATCTAATCCACTCCACTGGTTCAGAACAAAAAAAAGAAAGAAAATTCCAGGTCTGGGCAAGAGAAAACTGTACAACCTGCAATTATTTTGGTCTGATCAACGAAGAGGTAGCTATCATGGAAATAACAGCAATACACCAACATTCAACAGTTATTCAAATCTAGCAGCGCATAAAATGTACTGAGATTTTTTAACCTCTTTTCAGCTGTCAATAATGTATAAAGATATGAAAAGTACACTTTTTTTGTTAGGGAAAACAGTTATGATAAGGTATAATTAATTGCAGACGTAAGCAATCCTAGTCCAGGTCATCTGGGCATCGAAAGCATAATTGCTACAATCGTTGTTGTTATTTTGGTTTTGTTTTTACCACATTTTTGAGAAAAAAGAAAATTTGGCAAAAACTAAACATATTGGATAGAAGTACCCTATTTAAACCTCATAAATGCCGCTGAACTACTTACAAATATATGACAGCAATCATGTTTAGTTAAGCACAAAAAGCATATTTAACTAAGGGGATAACTTGCAATTGAGAATGACAAGGTTAACAGAAAACTAGCCAAGTTTTGATATGAAAACTTCAAAATAAAAACCAACAAACTTAACTGCCACTGAACTTCAGTTCCAATAACCATCTTCATTAACAAGGCAGCAACCTGAAATGGCAAGACTAGCATAAACCACCCCGAAATCAAAAAAGAGGCATAGAATGGGGAGTCACCTATGTTGCTAAACGCATAATACCAAAGGAACAAAGTTAGCCCCCCTCAGTCAAAAGTAATGATGCGATCCACATTGCAGCACAACAAGACTTAATTCCTTTTACCGCGGCCCTCAAAGTTTGAATTCCTTGGCTTGCTTACATCATCAACTGAGGGATGATCACTAGTAGACCTAAGGAAGAAAAGAAAACAAAGAATTAAACGAGAACAATGTTTCACATAAATGAATTATTTACTTAGGAAAATTACTAATGACTAAAATAACTCACAACTTATGTTTTTTTGCATTTTCCTTGATTGTTATGACCATATCCATCGCCATCTTCTGGTGCTCTCTTGTTTGAGAGTGGAACTCCAGGCCCTCCACTGTTTCACAGTCAACTTTACAGATACGACACCACCCCATGCCCATTGACTTTCTCTTTCTAAAATTTTCACCTGACTCCATGTCCCCCTGAGTTTCACAGAAACAAATACACATGAGAAAAGAAAGAAACCAAAAATTATACTAGTGATTGTGAAAGGACAAATAGCTAAGATGATACTATTTTAGTACAAATAAATTAAAATCACAAAAGAAAGGAGAAAAAACTTAACCATGTAGACTCCACCATCTGGAAACCCTTGAAGCGTAAAGCTGCTCCTAAATCCTGGCTCACCAATTCTATTATGAGAGAAGTTCCCAGAAGCACCTATTTCCCCCATTCGTGAATGACTATGAAAGGCGC